CACTCAGAATTGTTTTGAGCCAAATTCACCTTCATACAGCTTGAAAAAATCAAAGGTCAAGCTTCAGTCAAAGCTGTTAGTAGCAGAACAATAGTGTCTACTCTGGTCCTAGGTAGGTTAACACAAGTAGTTTGTCTCAAGTTTTCCACAGCTGTAATTAAGGACTAGTATTTCTAAAAATTTATAATCCCTTTGAAATCTACTACATTTGCCAGTTTGGTTTTTTTTTTTTTTTAAAGAAAAGAAAGGGTATATTTGACAAGTATTAAGTAAGTATAAGTAAGAATTGTGATTAATCCTATTTCACCATGGCAATGGGCGATAGGCCTTTAAATAAGGCATCTAAGAAGTGGCCAAAAATGTCCAAGACCTTAGGTAAAGTTAGAATGCAAATAAATAAGCGAATTTTGAGTTATTGTGTTTCCAGCCACTTTTCCTCGTTTATACTTTGTAGATAAATGAAAATCTGTCCCTGGAGCTTCCATTACTAAAACCCAGTCTCCTGGCCTCTGTAGAAAACACTGCAGGTTTTAAAGATGAAAAGGGGAGCTCCCCTCCCAAAGCCCTTATGTCCCAGGGGGCGTCAGGTTCTCGTGCTATCAGCCAGGCTGCATCCCTGCTGGTGTTCAGGAACCATGGACATGTTCCCACAACTCTAGCTAGTTTTCAATAAACGACATTTGGTTGATCAATGTTTTACTGATACACAAGACAGTAGTGGTATGCTGGACTTCGCATAACTGTAAATTGTTGGGCTGGACCCATGGCCTGGTGGTTCAGGGATCCAGACTGCACATGGCTGACCACAGTTGGAGTCCCAGACCAGCGTGTTTCAGCAGGTGCATGTGCATGCATGCCCAAGATACCAAGAAGATGGAGAAACGGGAGAAGGGATTGTGGCATGACCATGCCTCATTTGGGGATGCTTTCTCCTTCTCTCCCACACTCTCTCCCCCACTCTCTGTCTCTTGCTAGCAAGTACGTAAGTCCTCTGGCAAATAAAAAAACTCTTATTTTACAAATAATTGTGGAAGATGGGGAGTTAGGTCAGTTCAAAATGTGAGGTTGGGACTATTCTGACTGATGGAGTCACTTGCTAAATGTGAATATAGCAATGCAGAAAACAAATTTGTAAAAGCAATTTCCTACACCATGACTGCTCTTAAAAATGTGACAAGTCGGGAACCAGCAGTTAGCGTAATGGCTATGTCGCTGAACTCCCACGTAGTTGACCGTGGTTGGCGTCCCGGACCTGGTGGCTTAAAACTCACGCCGGGTGCGTGTGTGTGCGTGCCCAAGATCCCGAGAGGAGAATGGAGGAGAAGGGATTGCGGCATGACCATCCCCTCTGGGGAGTGATTTCTCGCTTTCTGTCTCTATGTCTCTGTCAGTCTGGCGAGTGCATGTGCCCTATAGCGAAAAACCTCTCAAAAAAAAAAAAAAAGTGACAAGTCCACTCAAGAGTGTCCAGTTCACAGTCTGGTGGCTTAGTCAGTAGCAAGCTGAACTTCAGTGCAGGAGGCTCACACCCCAGGTCTGTCCCAGGAATTGGATCCCTGGGGTCAACCAAAACTGCTCCAGGCATGTGCACACATGACCAGGATGCAGACAGGCTGGAGGGCTGGGGAAGGGGGAATCGAGGCATGATGAGACCTTGTCTAAGAAATCTCCCGATCCAGGATGCACTTGTGCCGTCATGAAATAGAAAAAAAATTTTGAAATGGGGGGTAGGGGGATGAAGGGATTACCCAAGTACCAACTGGTCAATCTGAAGATTATCTGCAGCCCTTTTAGAGTTCCTTCCCTAAGATTCAGATAGTCGATGGCCATTACTATCAGCTGTGAGAGATTAGAGGTGCAAGCCAATGAGAGTACTGTGCAGAGCTCATTTGGAAAGGTAGATATGTCATTTGAATTGTGTGCTGTTTCAGATTCTCCACGTAACCACTTTTATCGATACGACAAACTGAGACTCAACTGCTAAAAGCTTAAAAAAATAATTATAGTGCAATAGTACTATAGGACAAGGGGACTTCAAAGGTTGTGAAGAAATGGAATGTAAGTGCATTTATTTTGTTGCAAAAAACTTTTGAAATCCGTTCAAGTTTTTCTCTAATATATATATTCTGTGAACTTTCGGAGGACTCCTTGTACACTGTGTTCTGGAATATTTGGGGGAAAAAACCAAAATGCTCTAGGAGGCAACCCCACATAGGAAGGTTCACGGTCCCAGTCTGGAGACGTCCCTGAGTATGCCAGGCACGTGCTTGCCTGAGGCTGGCTAAGGCCAGGGGTGGATCTCAGCACTGAGGTCCCATTGGGGGTGCTGGCTCTCCCTCCCTCTCGCTCTTAGTTAGGCTCATGGACAAAATTAAAAAATGAACTTAAAAAAAGTCCTTATTCAAGAGCTAGTTCACCCACATACGCTTATAGGAGGATGAACAGGAACAAGAGAGCTGGGGGATTTTTCTTGCTTTAGAGTTTTGTGTCAATTCGCCTCTAGCTTTACTAGGAATCAGGCGAGAACTAAATTGAGTCCTAGCTCCAGTCCTACTTTGAATATAGGCTGGAGGTGAGCCCAGAGCCCTTTTGATTTCCGCTTGGTTATCTGACATGCATTCCCATGCTAAGTCTGCTATCTGAATGGAATGGTCTGTGAAGAGGACCACGTGGGGCATGTGCTCCACAACCATTTATTTAAGGAATTACTGGATGGCCAGAAAAGTCATAACACATTTTTGCATAGAAATATGTTAAAAATATGTCATGACTTTTCTGACAACCCAACACATGGCCTTAATATATTTTTGTCTCCTCTTATTATTTTCTAGTTTATATTTATTGTTCTATCATCTTATTACCTGAAATTATGTTTATCTTTTTAGGTTTTTGCCATAGGACATGTGTGCTCACAGGAGACAGAGAGAGGAAAAGTGAGGAGTCACCCCTTGAGGGAGATGGCCACACCACAATCCTTTCTTCTCCCTTCTTTTTTTTTTTTTTTTCTTTGGAGAGATTTTCACTGTAGGGCGCGTGCGCTCGCCAGACAGACAGAGAGAGACATAGAGACAGAAAGCGAGAAATCACCCCCCAGGGGGGATGGTCACGCCGCAATCCCTTCTCCTCCATTCTCCTCTCAGGATCTTGGGCACGCACGCACACGCACCCGGCGTGAGTTTTAAGCCACCGGGTCCGGGACGTGAACCGCAGTCGACTACGTGGGAGTCCAGCGACATAGCCATTACGCTAACTGCTGGTTCCCTCTTCTCCCTTCTTTTGGGATTTTGGGTACACATGCACACATACCTAGAGTGATTTTCAAGCCACAGGATCTGGAATTCAAACTCTAGTCAGCCATGTGGGAGTCCAGCACAACCACCAGGCCACCTGTTGGCCTCCCCAAACTATGTTCATCATTCTTTTATATCTCATTTTACTTAATACTCTAATTTCTGACATTACAGCAATTTTACCCTAAGCCCTGCATTTCATTTTCTGACGAATCTCCTGAATTCCTGACCCTGACACAGTGTGAAGCCAGAGCAAACATCTGTACCCTCTGGAGGTAACTTCTCCCCCGTGCAGCAGGCCGGGGCGGGCTAACCTTCAGTTACTGTACACACTGCAGCTGTGGCGAGAGGTTGTCCAGTTCTGAATGCCCTACGCCTTAGAAAGGGAAGAAGAAACAAAGAAAAAGAGAACACAAGGCTTAATTACCAGCTTATCGATAGTTCCATTTTCCTTCCAAAGAAAACAGTTCCACCGAGTCACTGGTGGCTGTGGGGGAAGCAGGACAGTCAGCGCGTCACTTTGAAGTGTGGCCTCAGGGCTTCCTCCCTTGGCTCAGCTCAGCTGTTGAAGCAGCACCAAACTTCAAAGCCTGACTTGCTGTTGTTCCTGCCGGTGGGGGGTGTGTGGCTCCCACAGGTTCGCCTCAAGGGGAAAAGGAGGAGGAATTCAGCGACTCTCACATGCCAAGGTCTGATGCTCACCAAACCGTCCGCCAGTTCTTACCCAAGACTGTCTCTATGCAACGGACACGAATGCAACAATTCATTTCGTCGTGTGATTAGTTTATTCTGCACATTTTTACAAGTCATCTGAGATGGCCAGCATTCCTCGTTTGTCGAGATCGGGTCACCGTGACAGATAAACTGCTCCTGCTTCTGATGAAACCCTCTGCTCATGGAAACGTGTCAAAGTTTCCCTAAGACAAAGCACAGTGTAAGATCATCCCCTGTCACTCTGCTACCCACAGCCCACGACTAACTGCTTACAATCCAGTCAGCTTCCACGCCTGTGTATAGGCAGTGCTTTCATGCTTACCTGTGGGTTAAGAGTGATTCCTTTTGGTCAATTCACTTTAAACAAAATATACACTTTTGAATGAGATATACACTTTGGAAAAAAAAGTGTACATTTAAAAGATATACACTTTTACATTTTTTAGAGGTTTTTTTGCTAGCTATAGGGCACATGTGCACACCAGAACGACAGAGATAGAGAGACAGAGACAGAAAGCAAGAAATCCCTCCCCCCCCCAGGGGGAATAGCCATGCCGCAATCCCTTCTCCTCCATTCTCCTCTCAGGATCATGGGCACACACGCACATGCGCCTGGCGTGAGTTTAAGCCACCGGGTTCGGGACCCGAATGGCGGTCAACTATGTGGGAGTCCTACTCGCTACTACTTAAACTCACACCAGGCGCACGTGTGTGCGTGCCCATTCTCCCTAGGGGGTGATTTCTCGCTTTCTGTCTCTCTGCCGCTCTCTTTCTGGCAAGTACACGTGCCCTATAGCAAAAAAAATCCCCCCCCCAAATTTTTTTTAAGTAAAATTTCTTGATTTTATTGGGTCTAAATTTTAATGTTCTTTAAAACTTATATTCATTTCACAATAATAGAGGAAAATAGAAATAATATGTGAACCAATTATCAATGAATTCTTAAAATTAAGAATGGCTTTAATTAAAAAACTAAGTGAGTTATATGGACAGTTGAACAGTGCCTCTACTACCTCCAACCAGATTTATTTAAATAAACATGAAAAATCAGGTAAAAACATTTCATCGTACAGTACAAAATGAAACAAGATAAGCAGGTCTTTGGGAAGCGCATCATGCTAAAAAAGCACACGTCACCTGACGGAATAGTTAAACAGTGATGGTCATATGACTGAAAAGCAGGAAGCCAATGTCAATAGAAATGTGTCCAGTTACCCAAGAGCTGGCCCCAGTGTGGCTAAGGAGATTCATCAGGTAGAAATGAACCTGGTAGGACTAAAAAAATAGTTAAAGGCAACTTCTGGGGACACAACTAAGGAGACACAACTATGGGGTGGGGGAGCCAGTGACAGAAAGCTTCTATCATTAGCAGATGGGGGTGCTTCATGACGTGAAAGGAAAGTCTACCACACAAGGCCCGAACAGGCGGGATCATTAAGTCAATGAAACAGCCACCAGCAATTCTGAGAAACACGCATTTGAATATTACTCGTATTACATTTTTCACAGAATACAATCTAAGAGGAAGTTGTTTCAATGGCTGGATTTTTTTTTTTTAATTTTGTAAAATGTTCTGATCAAAGTGGAATAAGCTCCAGGATTCTTGCTTCCAAAGATGTGTTTTTACTTGTGACTGATGTCCTGAAGAAGTCCAAGGTCTTCTCAAGGGGAAGTTGCTGCCTCTGGTCATCCTGTGTCTTCCGGGGTATATGCAGGCTCTCCGGGTCCAGGCCTTTTGGGCCATTTGTATTTGTGGAACAAATGGATTGGAGATGCAGTTAGAAGAGCAAAGCACCGCACACCGAAAGGCTGGGGAAGGTCATGAGTAAAATGATCTCAGGCAGACAGAGTTTTTATGCTGTTCATGATTTAGCAGGGTCAGGCGCTCTCTACTCTACTGCTCAACGCGGGCTGCTCATGCTCGCGTTTTCGGAGGCTTCACTCCAGTGACAGCTGCACACTGTCATCTTGGTTTTGTGGCTGCTGATAGTCATACTTCCTTGCTATTAAAAAAGAAAATTAAAAAAAAACAGATAAAATAAAATTGCCAAATAATTGCTAGCAAAGATCATGATTCTCAGTAAAGAAGTAGTTTAGAATGAACTTTATTTCTTCAGAGGATATTTTTTATACTTCATGATCCCCTAACTTCTTGACATTCCCAATACCCATTTTTTAAAGAGTTTTTTGCTATAGGTGCGTGCCCTCACCAGAAAGACAGAGAGAGACAGAGAGACAGACAGCGAGAAATCACCCCCCAGGGGATGACCATGTTGCAATCCCTTCTCCTCCATTCCTTTCTCAGGATCTTGGGCACGCACGCACACACACCCAGCGTGAGTTTAAGCCACCAGGTCCGGGACTTGAACCCTGGTCCACTACATGGGAGTCTAGCCACATAGCTAGCCATTATGTCAACTGCTGGTCCCTCCCAATACCCATTTTCAAATGTTTATTATTATTACTTGTGTATCAGAGCTTTAAAATACAAACAGTAATTAAGCTATTAATGTTAATTCAGAATTTACTTCTTCTACGAGAGAGGCTGAGAGAACGGCCCCCCCAACAGGGTCTCCATGTCGTGATTCATCCCAAGTTTTAGCTGGCTCAGGTCACAGGCCTGCAGGCAGAAGCCCAGCACACGCAGGAAGAGCCTGGGATACAAACTCAGGACATTTCCTACGTGGATCCATTACATTACTATTTTGTCACCCACATGCCCTCCTCCACCACTTAAAAAAATTGTTTTTTGAAGTACTTATTAGAGTCAGCAGATGGCATTAACAGTTAAGTCACTGGACTCCCACATGGCCAACTGTGGTCTGAGTTCCAGGCTCAGGGGCTTGAAACTCACAACGAGTGTGTGTGCATGCTTTCCCAAGATCCCGGGAGAAGTACGAGGAAAAGGGATTGCAGCGTGGCCAGCCCCCTTACCCCCCCGGGGTGATTTCTCACTTTCCCTCCTATTGCCTCTCTCTCTCTCTCTCCTGCAAGCGCACGTGCCCTAAGGCAAAACCTCTTAAAAAAAAAAAAAAAAAAAAAGTACTTATTTCTTCTGTGAGTGAGAGAGATAGAAAGACTGCACCCACCAGGATCTTGACACCATAAGCCACCCCCTCCCCATACACACACGCAGCCAGCCCTGGGTCATGGGCACACACAGGTCCACATACATGTCAGTCGCCTCTCAGAGCATTGAGTTTTCCCACCGGCCACTGTCTGGACCCGGATTTCCTTCTTTCTTACCACCCACTCCTACCTTGAGTTAGTAATAATGCTTTTGTCCCCATTACAAGAAAGCTGTTTTAACTTATTGTAAGAGACTTATTGAACATAAATGTCGTGGCTTACAGATGCCTCTACGTAAACTAGGAGGAAAAACCGAGAGGCATTTCTGTCTTCTTTCTGTACTTGGAATAAATGCTTACTGGAGAAAAACTGTCTTAACCTAAAACTAAAGAAAATACAGACCTAAAAATCTTCATTAATGTCATTTGCTGCTTAGTTTTAAAACTTTCAACCTCCTTTCAGTTTTCACTAGCTAAAGAAGAGATAACTATTACATTTGTTTATGCACTTCAGGGTAGATCCAGATGTTTGTGATCTAAAGCTTAAAAGTTTGGGAGTCCTCTCTAAGAAAAACAATTTTGTTTGCTATTTCCTCTTGAACTGCCTTATAAGAAATGGCATAGACACCTACCAGAAGCCATCATGCTGGGATTCATAAAAGGTACAAACCCACCCGTATACTCAGCTTATAAGAATAATGACTTCTTGGGGCCAGCAGGTGGCGTGGTGTTAAGACACTGGACTCCCACATGGCCGACCGTGGTTCGAGTCCTGGACCTGGAAGCTTGCTTGCTCTCCCTCTGTGTCTCTCTGGTGAGTGCATGTGTTCTACAGCAAATAAATAAAAATGATGATGATGATAAATAATTCTTAAAAAAAAAAAACGAAAAAGGCAAAAATAGGTATTTTCCCCTAGAGCGTCCAGAAAAATAGAACCCTGCTGACACCTTCGTTTTACCCTGGCAAGCCTGCTGTAGGACTTCCAAACTACAGAACTGTAAGACGACATGCGTGTGCTGTGTTGTGCTTCTAAGTTTGTAGTAATTTGCTTCAGCAAGAATAGAATACTAACATGCCTTGCAAACAGGAATTCTGATAAAGCCACTAAGTTTTCGTTACCACCTATCTTTGATAACCTTTTGCCAACTGGGCTCGATTCCAGAGAATCTATTTTAAATATGCCTGTGTGTACCATTGGCACAGAACGCACTTACAAATGGAGTACATTTCCAGCTGCTGTCGCAGACGAATTTTACTTATCGTATCATAGAAGTTGGGCTCTGACAAAGTTTCCTCTGTAGGTGGCACGCTGAATATTCTCATGATTTTCCTTTTATTCCTAAAATACAAAATCAATACAGAAGAGAGAGCCGTATCAATGTATATAGAATCGTAATATTTTCATGATCCTGGTCATCAGACACCATATTAAAAAGAGGGAGATGACAACTAGCCCGTTTTGTTTTCTACTTTGTGTTCATGAGATGCTCCCTTGGCTCAAGCATTCTTTTACTGAAAAGTATGAGGCGGGGGCCAGCAAGTGGGTAGTGGTTAAGGCATTGTACTCCCACATGGCTGACTGCAGTTCGAGTCCTGGATCTGGCAACTTGAATATCACACCAGATGTGTGGGTGTGCGTGCTCAAAAAATCCAAAAGGAGAATGGAGGAGAGGGACTGCAGACAGCCATGGCCCCTGGGGGTGATTTCTCACGTTCCCTTTCTGTGTCTCTCTCTGGTGAGTACATGTGCCCAATGACAAAAACCAAAAACAAACAACAAAATAAGTACGAGGCAGAGGCTGTACACACGAAGTCACAGGGCTTGGAAAATAATGAATTAACATAGTTTTTAAATATAAAAGATGGCCTTAGGGGGATATCTTTTTAAAAGTTAGAACAGTGTGCCTCTGGTTTAAAAAGAAACGTGGGGTGGAGGTGGCGACTATTTTTAAAGGAAAGCTGTAAGCTGCAGGTGGATCAGTGACAGGAGGCACCCTCTCACCCACCCCAGGGGCCAGGAGGCCCACGGGCCAGCTGCTCGGGAGGGCCCCATTGCTGGGTTGCTGGGAAGGGTGTACATATGAATCTGAGAGCAACTGTGGGCCTGGAACTATGTCCCAGGCCAAGGAGAATTATTTCAGATTACTAATTATTTCAGACTATTTAATGCCTTTAAAAAATAAATAGAGACCTTGGTAGACGACACCAAGAAGCGCTGTGGCTGCAAGAAGAAATCGGTCCAGTTAATACTGCTTTTCCTCTTCAAAGCACACTCTCTCCCTCGCCCCTACCTGATTTCTTTCCTTTTCTTTTAACTGAACAGGGGGAAAGGAGCAGGAAGTATGAAAGAGAACAGTTAAATTAACCCACAACATCTGGGATTAAGGCGGGAAAGATTTATCCAGGATTTACACTGGGTGGCCCACCAAGGACACAGAAGGAAAGACAAGGTCCTTGTTCTCAGGAGACTGAAGGTTTTGTGGACTGCACAGACAAGTAATCAGATAAGGCTAAGATCGCTTAATAACGGCTACGATTTAGTCATGCATAAGAAACAAGGAAAAGCTTCAACAGGGGGAAGAGAAATTTGCCGAAGATACAGGAGTTAGTGTTTCTGCAGTTCAGGGCCTTGGGTCCAAAACACTGTGCTCACTGAAGCCTGACGACATCGAAGCCGGGCTGGATGAGAAAATCGGGCTGTCGTAAAAAGGACAGAACTGGGAGTTCGGAGCCGCTGGCCGAGTGTTGAGCACTGTACGTAAATCTTCAGCTCTTCAAGCAACAGGATTTTCAAAGTCACACCGCAGTTACCAGTGTTAGAGGAGACCAATGGAGATAGTGCTTTCCAGAGCAGAAACAAAACAATGCGGATAGTTATTTTTATATATTCAATCCAGATTGTGGGGGGACAAATAAAAACAAAAAAAAAATCTGCAAAACTTTTTTGGGGGGAATGGGTAGGGTTTTGCCTTAGGGTGCGTACGCTCACTGGAGAGAGAGAGAGACAGAGACAGTGAGAGGGACAGTAAGAAATCATCCCCGAGGGTGGATGACCACGCTGCAATCCCTTTTCCTTCATTCTCCTCCTGGGATCTTGGGCACGCATGCACACATGCCTGGCACAAGTTCTTAGCCACTGGGTGTGGGACTCGCTCTGCAGTCAGCCATGTATGAGCCCAGCGACATAACCACTACGCTATCTGGTGGTCCAAAAAACCTGCCCAACTTTTAAATGCCCAGTTTCTTATCTACCCTGAGATTCTGAAACAGTTACCTCTTGGCGTACATGAAGAGACCGAAGCTAACGAGGATCACTATCAAGTAAACATTGGTGGCTTCGTTCCAGGCTTCGTGAACAGTGTAATCAATAGACCCGTCGTCACCCATCACTCCGTAACCTCCAGTCATGCGGCTGTCAGAGAGAAGACAAGATCGTTTTCTTCATTAGTGATGTTATGACCACCCGGAGAAGGGCTGGCAGCCATGTGGCCCCCTGGCCAAGTCTAGTCCACCGCCTGCTTGCGCATGACCCAGGAGCCTTGAGTGGTGTTAGATTTCCAAATAAGTATACTTTAAATGGTTATGGGGAGGAGAGCAGGCAGTGGCTCAGCAGTAAAAAGCAATACTCTGAGAGGCAACCCCACACAGGAAGATGTCCGGTTCAAGTCTGAAGGCCTCCCTGACTATGCTGGGCATACGTCTCCCCGTGATGTGAGGCTGAAGACTGGAGATGGATCTTGGTATCGAGAACTTACCAGGGATGCTCTGTCTCCTTCTCTCATGGAGGAAATAAGTAAAATTAAAATGGCTAGAAGCAGCTGCATAAGATCCTCCGTTTTGTCTCACCTCTCACAAAGCCCCAAATATTTACAACCTGGCCCTTTCAGGAAAAGTGTACCCACTCTGGGTCTAGGTAATTAAGGCACACTACATAGTTCCCTTTATTTTCAACTCGGAAACATTCTGGCTCCTACATAAGAGCTGAAACTTGGAGTGAAACTAAATATTCCTAAAGGGTCGAGGTTGGGCTAGCATTGAAGTTTCCGAGTTGTAACTTCCACCTGGTAGAAAACAGTCCTTTAACTCACAGGCCCAAACGGCTGCCTATGACGCTAAAGCAAGTGTCCCTCTCGGGACAGCAGCCTGGAGAAGATGTGACAGCCATGACAATGCTCTTCCACACGCCTCACTTCACACTGGGAGAAGTCTGAGCTTTATCTAGTTTTGGCCTGCTGGCCAAATTTGGTTGAAAAAAGCTATGGGATAAAAACGTTACTTTTTTGCTATTTACACAGCTGTGAATTCTACTCAAGGAAATGCATTCTTTGGACATTCCCACAGAAAATAAGAGACAGCAAGTGTATCTAATAGCAAGTAAAAGAGTAAGGCTTCTCATTTGTGCTTGAGACGTTAATTGAACTTTTGCTTAAAAAGGAAGTTTCTCCTTCAAGTGTTGGACATAAAAAGGCAAGTCTAAAAAAGTGATCCAGTATGTAGAGGGAAAATCTAGAAGTGTGGTTTTAGGCACTCTATTAAAAGGAGAAAAATGATAGTGATAACTGTACCTTAATTTCTAAGAATAAGACATTTTCTAATACCAAAAAAAAAAGAGTATTTAGAATGTCCAAGATGCTGTTCTGTAATCTTCTTTTTCTCTAGACAGCCCACAATGAAGGCATTGCAGAAATCCTTCCACTAAAATATCTGCAAGCCTCCCAAATTTTCATTAATATAGATTTGGCTCAGTAACTTTGTAAGTATTTAATGAGGGCATGGTCTGATTTCTTTCTTCCAGCTTGCCTCTACAAAATGAATGGAATTTCAGAAGTCTGCTCTAAGGCCAGGTGGCATGTTTTCCTTTTTCTATCTGAAGTCTTGGTCAGATGTTTGAGGATATCCTATACTCATTTAGAATAAATGAATGAGTGTCATGAGCAGCTATTTAACTTAAATTCTTTTTTTTTCTTTTGGAGAGGTGTTTGCTATAGGGCACGTGCGCTCACCAGACAGAGAGAGACAGACAGAAAGCGAGAAATCACCCCCCCACACCCCAGAGGGGATGGCCACGCCGCAATCCCTTCTCCTCCATTCTCCTCTCGGGATCTTGGGCCCACATACACATGCGCCTGGCATGAGTTTTAAGCCACCGGATCCGGGACTCGAACCACAGTCAACTACATGGGAGTCCAGTGACATAGCCATTATGCTAACTGCTGGTCCCAACTTAAATTCTTGATATGATAAGCAAGGCTGCTTTCTCTAAAATATCTAATGGTGTCAGATGAATACAAAGATTGGTTTTGTAAAAATGAGGGAACAATGAAAATAGAAACTATTCAACATTATAAAAAAATCTAAGTATTATTTAAATACTAGATTATACTGAATTCTTAGAATTAAGACTGCCTCTAGTGTTTTTTTTTTTTTTGAGAGTGGGAGACAAAAATATTTGGCATATTCTCAGTTTGAATTCTTGATCCTTAAAGCTCAACTCCAGAGATTCTGCGAATGTACTGTTATGATTAATAGTAATTGGCCTACGTTGGAGGTGGAGACTTGAACACCACTCTGCTGCAGAAGGCAGAGGAAGATGACGCAGGCGGTGGGATCTTTCAGGACTGGGAGTTCACAGTCTGGAGGAGACACGGGGAATGCTGGCAATGACCAGTAGAACATTTCGCAGGTGCCACTTCTCTGACAAACCACGAAAGTGCTTCCTATCTGTTTTCTAATGACAAAAAGGATCTGAACCAGGTTAATTTCTTGCTTCCCCTTTCCACAAAACTCTGTCCATGTATCACTCAGGAAATGGTGTATTCTTACCCAGAGCTTGACATCCTCCTGCTACAAATATGCCATTCTTTGATTATGTTTAGAAAAGGAATTTGAACCACTGCTGACCCATAATGGATGGATGTTGGTTGGTTGGTTGTTTATTTATTTATTTATTTTAGGTTTTTTGCCATGGGATGTGTGTGCTCACTAAAGAGAGAGACAGAGAGAGGGAAAGCGAGAGATTACCCCCCAGGAGGATGGCCACAATCCCTTCTCCTCCTGGGATTTTGGGCACTCGCACACGCGCCCAGCGTGATTTTCAACCTACTGGGTCTGGGACTTGAACCATGTTTGGCCATGTCACCGTAACCACCATGCCAACTGCTGGCCCTCAGACGGTAAAAATTCAACATGAATTATATAACATACATTATATAACATCACTGGTGTGTGATGACATGACTCATCCATGATCCCAGGGACATGCACTCGGGTTATTTTTAGTAGTGTGAAAAATGTGCACTGAGGACAGGCCTGTCCTGCCCAGTCCTCATTCGTGACCAATGCCCAGCTCTGTAAAGCTGCCAGGAATGAGGAAGAGGCTAGCGCAGGTCACAGTACAGATCCAGGCCCACACGTGGTGGGACCTATGGGCTGCCTGCCTCTCTGGTGTTCCAGGAGCCTAACCACCTGCCCAGTGCTTACTGCCTGCTGCCAGCCTTCCATTGGACACTGAGGCAACACATCCAGGGGTTTCACCAAGGCTCCTTCCTTGTGAGCTAATGTTTCAGCA